GATGACATCGGGGGCGCCGGCTCATCTCGCCGCACTGGAACCGAGCCGGGAGCCCAAAGGCAGTCCCTTTTCCAGAGTGAGAGAGAGGCCGACCGAGCGGACTCCGAGCATCTTCATCACTTCAATGGCTGCGATTCCCGCGCAGTTCCAGAGTGGGTTTTTGCTGAGCTTCTTCGAGTTGTGGTCGCCCGAGATCTCAGATATGGAGATCTCGCCCGGCGAGACCTGCGGGTCGAGGGAAAGGGAGACAAAGTCGCCGAGGCCGTCTACGGCGCAGCCCAAGAAGTCAAAGCCCGGGCCGAGATTGGCCACCGTGGCCGGCGCGAAGGCCTTGACGGAGGTGTAGACGGGTTCGGGTTCGGTGGAGGTGAGGGAGGGTCTGGAGGGGAGGGAGAGGTTACATCTGAGAAGGGGTTTGGGCTTCGACGATGAAGATGATGATGGGATTGTAGTGAAGAGTTTGAACGGAGATTGGTGGCAGATCGCCATTGTTGTCGCAGAGTGAGCAGCTGTGTCGGGTGGGGTTTTAGGCTGTCGAAGTAAATGGGTGAGTTTGGAAACGACGGACTTTGAAGAATTTTATGGGCTGGGCCGGAATTTTCAATTTTTCATGTGTTTTTTTTTCTCAAATGATGGTTCTGCTAAATTTTTATTTATTTGTACAAACGGTATTGAAGAAAGAGGAATAAAATTTAGACCTCGGTTGCATGGTAAATGCATTTTACGTTTTAACTACTTGGACTACATACTCTTTGCAATTTTTTGGAAATGGTGAACAGATTTGACAAGCATATTTGATAATCCAACCGTTTTCTATTAATAATTAACACAATAGAGTGAGAGAACATGATATGGTATGATTAATTAACTTTTAATTAACTTATTATCATTAGAAAGGTGGCTTGATGATGTTTAACGAGTTAGTCAAGTGTCGTTGTCAGCATTGCTGTGTATCTCTTGAGAGTTGTTGATTTGTATTCTCTTGGATATATTCCTCGAGTCATTTTCACAATTCTCCTTCCCATTTGATACCATCATCTCCTTGCGTTTTCTTTTTGTCTTGTTATTGTTTTTCGATTCGTTTGCCTTTTCGTCGATGAAGGACAGGAACATGGGGAGGCGCGCAGAGCAGGAGGTTCTCCTGCTATGGCTGGAAGGCTCAGTTTGATCTTCAGCTTCGGGGGAATGCCGGCTGAACTGGCGTAGTGCCAACAGAAAGTGAATGAAGAGAGCAATAAGGCTTGCAATGCCACAGATAAGGAAAAGTCCCCAGAAGCTTTGTAGTTGAAGCTGGTCTGATATGAGGTCAGAGGTCTGTGCACATGTTTTTCTTGACAACCATTTGTCATGAATTTTCTGAAGATCGCCATTCTCCGATAGGGTGAGAATGGCGGTTGACATGTCAATGGTTAGAGGAGAGTCTCTTGGAAATGCCTGCAAAAACCCATGTAGCAGACACTCAGACATCGCACATCTATCAGTTATTTGTAGCATAAGGAATTATGTTTTGTTTCACTTGATCAGTTACTCGTAGTCTGATAATGTAACATAACATATCAGACTGTCTAACAAAAGAATGATCAGATTGCGCATGTTTTGGGAGAATGGTCAACCAAATATGTGTTTCATTGACACTAAACCGGAAAATGTTCATGTTGACAACATATAGTGAAGAAAATTTTGGAAAAGTTAATAAAAACCATGTTGAAATACTCACAAATCCCCACCCGCTTTTGGTGAACTCCTGCCCCCTAATTGAGAACATGCAGTTTTCTGAGAGGAAGAGTTCTATATATGCTTTTTCATCAACCACAGCAGCAACAGTTCTTTTCTTAAGGGCGTCTGCATATGCTTCTGGTGAGCCAAGAGGAACTAGCCTAGATCTTGGGATGTTGAGCTCCTCAACCAAATAGTTTTGAGCAAAAGACCCTATTTGGTATCCTATAGGTTCGGTGCTCGTTACCAAGGTATCGATTCCAGTAATGGGGGATTCTAGTTGTTGTATTGTGAGCATTGATGTCAGGCTAGCTGTATAACTTGAGTTGATTATTAGAACTATAAAAAGCCAGATGATCAGCACCATCCGACCTAGCGTGCTCACCGTATTTTCTCCTGAAAGTTCAAAGATGGATCTTTTAAGCACACTTTCAAGTTCTTGGTAAAGAACACAGCATGTAGTACCAAAATTGAACTTACTATGAGCAAAAAACATGGTAGAGAAGCTAAACCTGAAAAACAACAGAATGAAGGCAGATGAGTACAAGTTGTTATAAGTTTATTTGCATTCAAATTCAATAGAAGTTCAACTTTCATGAGCTGCAGCTTTCGTGCCACCGCGAATCATAGCCTACAAATTAGTAAGTATATGCAAAAGCCGGGTCAGAATGTTCAATGTACAAAGTATTTACCATAAGATTGTGACAATCTGTTTCCTAGGAGGGCCCCTGAACTCATCATTTATTCTATGTTCCAGAATCCACATGACTAATCCAATGATCAGGAAGAAAGCTGCTGTGACACCCCACATCAGTGGACTAAATGGCTTTAAGAAAGCCCAAGCTCTCGACTTTAACCTCCTAACTGGAGCCACCACAACTAGCCCTGACTCTATATATGGCTGAGTGAAATCCACAATCTTTGTCCGGTTGGTGACGATGGCAATGTCACCTACAGCAGCATCAAACTTCTACAAAACAAAGTCTTAAATCAGATAGAAGTTTTATGGGCCAACATTTTCTTTTTCTTTGAGAATATCAGTCAGTATCTTGTGATTGTTAAATTTTACTTACTCCTGATGCAATCATTTTTACAAACTCGTAGTAGCTCGGGTTCTTGAGACCATCACCAAACAGAACAAACTCATATGGAACTGCATATGGAAGCAACTTTATAGCTGCAAGGAATATATCAATGCAGTATCCTTCAACTATATCAGTACCATTTCTTCGTGATACAAAGTCTCGATAGCTAACTCGATTTGGTACTCCAATTCTTAATTGCTTTCCATTGTTTGGAAAAACCCACCCACGAGGCTTGACTGTTGTCCCTCCAGGCCATACAACAGTGTGTAAGTGTTGGTTCAAAGTCGACCGGTTTGATGATGTCTCAGGGGGCACAACAGATATCCCGGAATAGTTAGACCAGTATCCAATTCTTTGATATCCATTTTCAATTATGTTAATGAGATCATATGCAGGATTCAATGGAGATCTATCTGGATGAAATGCTATAGGACCAGTCAGGCCGGTTGTATTGGTTTGCAATATGTTGTCCAGCAACTGCTTCCCACCATGAAAAATGCTCAATGCACCAAGGTTCACAGTCCCTCCTCCCTTAGGACCACCTAGACTAGTGATGTTGGAAAAGGAAATGGTACCCCCTTGATCCAAAAGCAAATTTATAGCATGAGCAAGCATCCAGACAGTGTCATAGGCATATAGACCATAAGGGTTCAACCCAATAGAGCCATTACTCAACTTGTTCCACCTTGATATAAAAGCCCTTTTTCTTTTTGAGTCTGGTGTGTGTGGTCTAAGAGTGAGAGCACCTTGGATAGAGTTGGCAGTCTTTGAAGAAAGAGGTGAAGTTGAATCTAAAACAGTGGATAGCCAAGCAGTAGCTATCCATACATATCCACTCTCCATCATCCCAAGTTCCTGGGCGACATCAAAAACTACGAGACCTGATTTGGCGAATGTGTGTACAACAATCACTCGAGACTCCATCATTCGAGTCATTACCAACATATTTTTAACATCATCTCTAGTTGCTTTTGGTTCAGGTGGCAGTGCTGCCTTGTAACAAATCTTGTGGCGTTTTTCTGCAAGTTTATCACCTAATGCAGCAACACCATTTCGACCGCTGTCATCATCAGTGAAAATTGCAGCCACCTCTGTCCAACCAAAATAACTAACCATGTCTGCAATAGCAGCCATCTGGAACAGATCATTGGGTGCAGTTTGGACAAAGTAAGGATACTGCAGACTTGATAAGGTGGGGTCCAGCGCTGTGAATGACAATAGAGGGACATGAAGTTCATTTGCAAGATGTGAGAGTACATGAGCCATCACAGCAGTTTGTGGACCAATTATAGCTACTGTATCAGACTCCATGAACTTCAATGCTGTGATCAACAAAGAAATAAGCATTATAAATACTAAGTACTTGAGACAGCCTAATTAGTTAAAACAGCAGGCATACAGAAGATATAAAAAATAATAATAATTACCTCCAATGATGCCAAGAAATCCACTGAAGTTTGAATCATGAAAAGTTATAGATAATTTAGTTCCACCAAGAATGGTTGGATCAGAGTTCACATCATTCACAGCAGCCTCAATGGCAATCTTTGAGACTCTTCCATTGATGGTGCCTAATGTGCACATAGCTCCAACGTTCACGGCGGCAGGTCTTGAGGCCCCTTCTGTGGAGCCTGGTATGCAGATAATGAGTATTGAAACGACCCAAACTAGATTCATTGTGATACTATTCTGAGCACCTCCCCAAGTTTCTTATTTTCAAAGAAAATGAAGGAATGGAACCACCAAATTCAACTTCAAAGTCATCACTTTCTATGTCAAAGTGAACTACAAGAAACTTAAAACTCAAGCAGTGGCATTTTCAACTAGGAGCAAAACAGCACCACCCCATCATTCAGAAAGCATAAATAAGGAGAAATACCAACTGGAAGTTCAGACAAACAGAACCAAACGCAATAAATTATCAAAATTATGAGCTGTGCTACTTGAAACCCAAAAGCAACAGACAGAAAATTGGGCAAACCAAAAGCACAAATCTGTCGCACTAAAGCAACATCTTGGACATATAAGGAATGACAACGAAGCTCATCTCATGAAAAATGTGAAAACTCAGGTGTTTTCAGTGTGTCTCAAGGAATCCACACTCACCTCAGAGTTAAAGTTGGGGATGGTGGAGGGGGACAAGGAAGAGGAACCAGAGGCAGAGCTTAGAGTTTGGGGTACACAACCACCTATTCTGAAAAGCAAGGAAGATAGATTAATGAATTGAAATAGCAAGTGACATACAAAGACAGAAAAGGAAATATAAATTAAATATTGAACACTCACTAAAGTAAAGCTAGTGAGTCAAAACTCACAAGAAAGGAAGAGGTCCATTGGAGCTGAGGGAAAGATAGTTCCATTATTTAATTCTTGTGATGCGAATACTTCAAACTGGGGAAAGAGAGCAACTTGGGAAAATGGTTTTCCACTTGATCTTTGTGGAGTTTTATTGAGTTTGCTTGTCTTTTGTATCAGTCACTCTTCAGAACAATGGCTGAATTGTTTAAGTTTGGTATTTGTACCATTGGATATATTGTTATACCATGGCAGGGTGAAAAGAATATTATAACATGCTGTCTCTGAGTTGCTTTCATAAAAGTGGTCTGAAATTGGATTGAAGGTTTACACCTTACATGGCCTATTTACTAAAATAGGTCTATTGTTAGTGGTGCTTTTGTCGGATCAGTAGAAGCTTCCCTACTTTTGCTTAGATTTTTTGAAGTTCCCAAACAGCATCGCTACCATGAGAGAATCAATAACAATCATAGATTCACAATATGTTTGATTTCTTTGTGATCAAACATATTGATAACATAAAACTTCATCTGCAATGTTAGTCACATCTAATTTTCTTTTCTAACATAAAATCAGTGGCCCAATTTTTTTAAAAAAATTATGAATCATCTGTGCATAG